AAAGAGCTTTTATCTAAGAGCTGCATGTCAGATTTTCAACACCAAATTTAGTTCTCACAAAGCCATCAGGGCTATTATCGTCACATATATCATTATAAAAGAAGAAACGAAACAAAATAATTGAAGTTCGTCATTCTTATGCACTCATCAAAAAAGAAACATGAAGTAATTAGATTAGCATGTAAACACATCATATTATGTCAGTTATTTGTAATTGTATGTAATACAAAAGTTAAATTATCCTCCAGCAGTGAGATACAGTCATAACTGGTATGATTTCATCTTCCTTCAGTTTTATAGGTTCATGTGAATATCAGGTCTCTTGAGGTTGTAATTTGAGTTGTTGGCTGTTTAATTTGCCAGATTTCTTCTGTACTCAGTATGCTTTCGACAATCTTTGATCATTTATCTACTCTGTCTCCCTCTGACCCAAGTGTTAAGCATGATTCTGATTCTGCACCCCTGTTTTTATTCCAGATATCTCCTCCAGCTATTTGCTGGCTACTTTGAATATCATTAGATATGTTGTTAGTCAACTTATCTGTGCTATAATTGCTTTCTTGCGGTACGCAAGTAATTTTCTTGACCAAATAACTTGGGACCGGGGCAGGTGGCCTCGGAAAGATCTGCGAAAGAGTCTCCATCTGAGGTATTTGGGTAATTTTCGAAATCTGCATTTGTGGCGGATGACTCAGAATAGGGTCAGAAGTACCAGGAAAGGCTTGTAACCCCACAGGCAGAAGTCCAGTTGATAGCGGGAACATAATTTGAGCGATTTCAAGTGGTGAAGAAAGAGAGACCGTAACTGATCTCTCGGCGCCTGTAGCCGAGGCACGGAAAGGGAGGCCTGTCATTCGATTAACAACAGTTATGGAGCTCTCCGTAGAGACCATCTGCACGAGAGCTTCACCAGTAGAATTACCCTGGAGGCAATTAAAAGCAAGGCTTTAGTATTTAGCTATATCTTAAGAACCACAAAAAGCGCAAGCTTGAAGCAAATTTATATTCATTTAATTTGAATCAATTGAATTGATCTCGCTGGGAGTTGTCTGACACCTAATTTAATCATATTTTATATTAATTTATAATAAGAAAGCATTTTGAGGTAAAAGAATATTATTCAAGTGTGAATTATCTTAATTCGTTGACTCGCTTCGTCGAACTCCCTTAACAATATCCTATATTTGGATAATTAATTTACGTGAAAAATAGTGTTGATATATTTTTGTATTCTGCTTCTAGCGTAAATGGAATAAAGCTCAAGGGTCAAGGCCTGAGAGACACGATTCTTTCATTAAGTGTTTAATTTGCCTCATATATGTGACTTAAAATTGTAGAGCATTTTCAAGGCTATATAAATATGATTCAAGGCCAGATTATGTTAGGTTAATTAGGTCATATTTTGTAGTTACTGTCTGTAATCAGGACAAAATCATGCATTTCATGTGTTAAGTGTAAATCTCTTCGCTTTGTTTCACAGCCAAAGTCTTCACTAATTTTTTTAATGTGCTGGAAGTAAATCTTGACAAGTAAATAAAATATGTGTCGCATAGTAGCCTCGAAGCCAGAAATCAAACCAATCTCGGGGGTGGAGTGATACAATTGAAATTAGTTTGCTACTCATCAATAATTTTTTCATTATTTAATTAAAATACGCTGCAAATGGAAAATGAAAATGCTTTATCATGCTCATCGTTGCTATATTCTACAGATTAGGGAACAGATTTCCTATATTTCTAACTTTTTTATGATATAAAAACAGATATCCTTCTGATAGAATAAGTTAAGGCATATATTTGCCCAAACTAACTAATATGAACAATAATTATCACCCACAATATAGCCACATGTTCCTAATCTATCCATTACATTTCGGCCCATTTTGCGTAAAGTGAAGCCTTATTTTCGTATTACTTTTGTCGCATGTTCTTATAAATTTCGAAACCTAAAACTTTTAGCTTGAATGCATCCCATTTTCTCAATCTTTAAGCAAAATTATTTAATTGGTTTGTACTTGAGGATCTGAATAACTTAAGGTCTCGTAGTTCTATGCGGCAATTGTCACAAGGAGAATATCACCAGTGTTTCGTCTAAAAAATATTTTTAATAGATTTCGTAGATATCACAACTGAACCAGAAGTAGCTTAACTTACCTAAATTTGATCTCTTAATATTTTTCACAGTTAAGTATGACAGGCTAAGCCTAAATAGTGTGGTAAGAGCTACCATAATACAATAATTACTGATTGAACATTAGCTTTAATAGAAATCTAGAATTCCCCTAATCAAAATCCCATTCTCTCTTATAATACTAGCGAAATCACGAAACAAAACTCCCATTAACTGGATATGTAATTATGCTCTTGAAAAATGTGCATATCTAAAACTTGCCATTATTACCTCGAATTCCTTAGACTACCGTGATTAAGCATATATGCATCCTAATCAATTTTTTCTATTATTTTATCTAATAAAATTCGCTAAATTCTGTATAAATAAGTGCAATCGTTTTATGGAAACCCCTTTTTCTGAGGGCGTGGAGCTTTGCTTCCCTTGGAACTATCCTGAACATGAATGCTTCCTGGACAACAATCTTAACAATTACTGAAAAGATGCTTTATTCTTTATGGTAGGAACTAAATATTAAAATAGAAATTTCAGCATTAAAATTTGATCTATTATGCAGCAGAGGTTAATCTCTTTCAATCTGCGAGAGAACATTGTCAGGTTTTATGAAAGCAATCGTATTCAATTATGTGAAAATTCGGCTGTAATCCATATTTATAAACAATAATTATACAATCCTATTAGCAAACTTAGGCATAATTTTCAAAGGCTAATCACTTTAGAGAGATTTCCAATCCTATATCATAACTATAGTCCTTTAAGATGGAAGCATTTTAGGAAGATTTGGATGCATACATCAAGCCCAGGTGAAATAAATCTGGAATAAGATTATGCTTTACCTTCCAAATGAAGGAGAAAAAAGCACTGCTTATATCTTTGCTTGAATTAATATAGTTTGAAGCATAAGGCAATTTCTCAGAAGAATATCATCTCATCTGACCTCACTCGAAATTTTAACTTATCCACTCCCATTATTATTATTATATATTAATAATATGGCTAGTTAGTCCGAAACAATCGCCTGGCAAATTTAGTTTTCCGTAATGTATGTCTTTTTTTGCTTAATGTAGTTAGGGCATACTCAACTTTTTAGGGAGATTCTCTTTTAAAGGCCCTCTTTTCTGAGAGCGTACATGCCATAACTTGGTTATCAACCTTAAGGATGATATGATTTGAAGTTGTTAATACCTCGCTTCAAGCTAGCTCATAATGACGTCAATAAGAGCCTATTTAACAAAATTTCAATGCGTAACATCTAAAAGTCTAGTTAACATAAAATAATTCTTATTATTTATTACGTAATTATTGATCAATAATTTACACTCTTGTCAAATATTGCTATTATTAATTATTGTAATAATTATTAATCATCACTTTGAATATTATTAGCAGTTATTAGGAATGATAGTTTCCATCATTTTTGATTACCTAATTAATTAACTAATTATTTATTAAAATAATAAGGAGAATAGAGTTTTTATATTAACTATTACTAGTATTAATTATTACTTAATTGTTTATGTTAAGTTTTGTCATAAAATCAGTACTATTTATATTGCCCATTTACCTTTGAAAGAAATAAAATTAAGGATTAGCTATTGACTTCGATCCTCCAGAATTTACCTAGAGGCATTGTGTAAACAAGAATGCGTGCAATGGCTCTTAGAGTCTAAATGAGAGATCCTAACGGTGTGCTTAACCGCATTTTGGAGGCAATCTTACTGTTTGCACTCCCCCAGGTGACTTAGTATCCCCGTCTTCGGACCACTGGAAAATCGAGTAAGTTGTTGTGAAATATTATTTTGGAAAATTTTAGTTACCAGTCCTTCATCAACCTAAATGAAAAAGAGTAAACAGTCCTCATGCAAAAAGATATAATATCTTTAAGGCTACTTTTGAGAAGGACTCTAACCGCTTTGTTAGCCGATAAACTGCTAAATCATAAAATACTTTTCGCGTAGGATAAATTAAGGCTTTTGAGTCTCATTAAATCTGCTATTCATTCTTTCTGGTTGATGCTTCTCCCTATATGCTCACCATTGAGTCGAATACCTGATGGATGCCCTGCAATGCAATATACTGCCAATAGTTCTCCAAAAAAGCTAGAATATCTGTAACAGTCGCTTCTAAAGGCATGCCTTTGATGCAGATAAAAAGTTGTGGAATCTCCTGGTAATGCTGTGGCACCAATGGTTGAGAATATACTTGAGGGTTGGTGACTAATGCGCCCGTGTCAGAGGTATTGGAGGCAAGAAGAAAGGGCAGAGCTTGACTGACTATGGCAGATGGTCCCATACCATCTACTTGATTCGGCCGGCTATTCTGTCTGTTCTGATGAAAGAAAGGACTCTGCATTTGGCTTTCAAGTGTGGACCTGGGCGGTGAAGCGTAGATGAGCATTCCAATGTTGGCGAGATCGCTCGTTGCCGAGGAAGTGGGATTTGCCGTTGACGACACAGCATTTGGCATTATTGGCGACGCCAGTGAGCCTGCATGAATCCTCGCCAACATGGGAGATAGGTGGGCCAGTTGTAGAGGAGACGGTGGAGGAGGAGTAAGCAGAGGTGGAGGCTGGACATAACTGGTCATATGAAGAGGAAACAGACCAGTGTTGAGTCCAGCCTGACTGACTGAGGGCTGCAAGTTGCCAGGGAGCGACATCAGAGGCGTTGGACTGAGTCCGAGGAGGGAAGGTCGATTGGGGAGGCACGGAAAACCAGAGAGTCCCGTCGAACTTGCCGGGAACCCGGCAGTCAAAAGCCCATCAGGACGAGGGCTCTCAAAACGTATAGGCAGACCGGGTGCCATTAAGGAAGGAGGATAGATAAGTGGTGTGGTCTGTGTTAGTGCCATCGCCTCCGCAGCTATTGCAGATGAAGTTGACAGCGAGACGTCTGGAAATGATGGACTTGTTGCTTGGAAATTAGTCGGTGTGGTGTTAAAGTGCGGCAGTCGATGTGATTTGGAAAGAACGGAGACTTCTGAGGCTGTTGCCGATGAAGTCGGGCCAGGTAACTGGAAGTGGTTTGGAGCATAAGCCAAGGATTTGGCATCATCAAAATATATTGCACCTGCATGATCCTGAAAATAGTAGAAAATAAATGTAAAGCAATGATATCAAAGGTCCCTAGAGAACAAAGCTGTCTGCAGTTTTTTAAGCTGAATAATCTCGTATGAAATTTGGTACAATTCCGTCCTATATTGGTTTTATCATTCCCCATCGACACGAATAGCCTCATTTTAAAATCACATTTATATCAGAGCTTAAGCCTGTTCAGATTAAGTCTACGATTAAATATATTCTTAGGCAAGTACATTACGCCAAGTGTCATATCCTGCACTCTACAGCATTATAGAGACTATTAGTGACGAAAAAGATAGCAGCACACTCCACTATACTGTGAAGACTTGTATTTGGTATGCATTTTTCTCATGAGATTCGAGACATCCTGCCTTGTTTCGGGTGGAAAAGAACAGAACCTTCGCCCTTCGTATCACGGCAATCGTCAAAACTGGAACCCATTCTTGCAAAACTTCAGGTAAATGCTAAGATTAGCTCATTTTCCTTATTTATGAGAGACGATGTATAGTGTACTGCGTCAACCTGAAAGTAGTATTAAAGCCAAACAGTTGCAGAACATATGAAATCAGCCTTCATCTCCTGCTTATATCGACCTAAGAATCTCTTCCTCACGCAATTTCATACTAAATGAAAGTCTCTACAACAATGTAATCTTACGAAATTGATGAAAATGTGACTAAACCTTAAATTGTTTATGCGAACGCATTAAGATCCTTCTTTCATATCTCTATGACATTTCATCAGTAAAGAGTTTATCAATGTTAGACTGCCTTGATCTGTTGTTTTAGCTAGATTTGGTGTATTAATGCTATAAGTCCTCCTAGTTTTTCAATAGAAACAACAATTTTCTAAGAGGCACTTCTAGTAGAAAGAACGAATATTTAGAATCCCGCTTAGGGTGTTGATAAGACGTATGCGGGATCGAAACTGCAGTCCACCCTGGAGAAAAACACATTTTGGGCAAGCAGGGCTATGTGAACTTCAATTGAAAACATTAATTCTACTCATAGCATTGTGGGAGAAATCAACTATCAGTCCCTCAGAACCTTTAACGAAATAGTGTGAACACAACTCAAATGTATAATTTGCTGAAAGTCTCGAAAACCTATTCATCTATGATAAAATATTTCCAAACCAGTCAGAGCATCCCTACGTGTTTTGAGGAACCTAACGGAGTTCGATTCCAGAATTAATCTCGTCTTGAGCAAGGGAATAGACCAATTTAACTTTCAGAATACCCATTTCTGAGGCATTAAGGCGATCTAATAACCTGTTGAAGAGAGGCATGGTTGAGAAAGTTCTTTCCACCAACTCCTAACTCCGGTTCTAGACCTGGCCGAGTATTGTAGAGACTACTCTGGTGAATTGGAGTAGTTGTTTGCAGAGTTGTTGAAATCGGTGTTACACAGGGTGGAGTCAGAACACCCATGGCGGAGATCTGGCCAGCGCAAGATGGAGGCAAAAGCGTAGGTTGAAACTGGTCTGGCAAGGCTGAGACAATGCCAGACGTCAACTCAGGAACATTTTGCACAGGAGCGGCGAGGTTGGAAGCTAAATGAGGCAAATTGAGGTGATGTGATGCTGCACCATAAGGGGGTGGAAGTATGTGTGCCGGAGTATGGACTCCGGGTAGAGTGAGAGCAAGGGAGAAGGTGAGAGGCAGTGGTACCATTTCGTCTGATTGGCAGACGGAGCTCAATGCCTGTGCTTTTGGCCTATTGGCTTCCGTGCAACCAGAAGAGAAAAGTGGAGATACCGACGTGACGGTGGGCACGAATGCAGAAGTGGATTGAGAAAAGTTGGAAGAGGAAGTGGAGGTAACTGGTAAAGAAAATGTTATGAAGTTATCACAGTTTGGCAAGGAGCGTTTCGTGTATATTCGCGGATTGAGGCAGGGAGGGTTCATCAGAGGCTGGGCTGAAATGTTTCTTGCGGCTGTAGCCGCGGCTACTAGCATCATCAGGGCAGGACTGTATACAGACGGAGACGACGAATTGGTAGCAGCGGCCAGAGGTGAACAGACGAAATCGTACGGCAGCCCGGCGCCGGGCATCCAAAAGGGCGCTTTTTCAGAAGTTTGTGCTTTCAAGTCAATCAGGCAGTTTGAGTCAGTCATTTCGAGACCGCAAGTTGGCATCTTAATTTGACTCTTACCGGCGAAATTGTTGCTGCTGAGGCTAGTTCCAGGTTGTCGGATTAACGCATGGCCAAGAACATTAGATCCATTGGTGAAAGCTGGGAATGAGCCTGACAGGAGGCCAGGCCTCCCGGATGGGGTATTAATGGTGGGGGGCCCGATGTGGACAGGAACGATATTGGGCTGGTAGCTGCCGAAAGTTTGATTGCGCACAAGCTGTTGAGGATATTGAAAGGGAATAAATGGATGATTATGAAGCTGCTGAGCGCGAAGAGGGTTACGTGGCATGCTGTGGCTTCCACTACAGCCCGTGGCAACAGCTGCTGAGAAGGCATTTGGGTTCAGACTGACCTCCGTTGGAAGATCGAAAATACCGTTTAGACAGACACAACTAGTGACGGGTATGGCGCCCAAGGATGCAGATGAGTTGAGCACGCCATTCATCACCTGATTAGATTATGAAAAATAGGACAATTATTGAAAATTAATTTTCTCTAGCTTTTCATTTAGTTTACTTTGAGGGTGCTTTTAATGCAAAAATATTGCCAACAATTATCAAAACAATATAATGATAGCTGCGATTTTCGGTATAAAGTAAAAATGAAGCCTGATATTGATGGTAAATTTCATTATTTCTAAAATAATGAAAATGTATACCTTATTCAGAACTGACTGCGATCAAAGCAATGCTACT